TGCCATGCGGATTGATGACGGAAAAAGTGACGGGCTGAGCAGAATAAGGGTCGTGGATCGCGATCTCTCGTGGATGTTGGCGAAGAGGAGGAGGAGACGAGGGTTGAGGGGGAGGGGAGTAGGCATGAACCTCTTCTTCAACAAGCTCCTCGGGTGTCATGGGTCGCATGTAGACTGGGTCGTTCATTCTGGGTTCGGGGTTGGGTTGACGCTGATCAATAAAGTTGTTCACGCGCTGGCTAAACCGGCTTTGATTCATCTCCACATCTTCACCAGTGGATGAAGGCTTGAAAGACGAGGCATCATTGTTGGTGTTGGTATTGAACTGGCGGCGAGGATGGAACGTCATGATCTAATGCCAATTCAGGACAGGTGAGACGCGTCGGTGGCTACGCTGATGGAACTTACAAAGAGAAGGTAATAAAAAACAACGCAGATGTTGGCGTTGGAAATCACGACATCCGAGGCAAATTTGTTGGCAGCAATGGTTTTGGTCGTCAAGCCGTCCACACACAAGATGAAGAAGGACGAGCCATACAAAAACAGGATCAAGCAAATAAAATTGTTCATGATTTTAAAGTAGCTGAGCTTGGCAAGGATGACGGCTGGGGCGTTCTTCTTTTGCACCGAGTTGATAAGACGGCGGAATCGGCGGTTGTTGCGAATACCAACGATAGACGTGATCATGGCTTTGGGAAAAAAACATCATGTCAGTTTGCCTACTCGAACCCATTGCACCGAAAAAACTTACTTTCCACGCTGTATGCCATTTGAGGGATGACTTCACGCTTCAGTTCATCATTGCGATACACCCATTGCAGCACTGGGAACAGAGCCATACTGCAGAGAGCCCTGTACTCCAAAAAAAAAATGAGCGGATCTCACCCCTAGAGACGAATATTTTTGTGCTTACCAGACCACATAGAAACGGAATTCAGAAGAGGACATGAAACCACGCTTAACAATGGAGTTGGACAGGTAGTTCCAGAAACATTGCACCAAGAAGAACAGGCTGGTCTCGATGGAAAAGGCGACGCATTGTACATAATTGATGCCCTTTGGAATAGACATGGATAAACACTAGTCAGAGTGCTACTCTTTTTTTTTTTTTTTTTTCCCTTACATCACTAAGCATTTGAAGATCGTATCGCCACATCACATAGGGTGTAGCCATGACCGGTCCAGCGGGACCAAAGGGGGCTGTGAACCCTTCGGTATATTTGATATAGGTTACTGTCACATCTTTATGTAGAAAAAAAGGCAGAGAACAATGAGGATGCCGGCGTGTTGAAAGAAAAATCAAAGAGTTGTACCTGCTGTCGCCTGTATTAGTGTCATCAAGAGCAGTAATATCGTCAATATGCTTTTCAGCTCGCCGCTGAAAATTTTTGAAGGTCGTAGCGATTCGAATCGATCATACTTTGCAAGAGAGTAAATGAGATAGGCACCAAGATACACATATACAAATGTTCGTTCTAAAAAGGACATTAACATGCATACTTTTCCTTTGGGCATGCAGCTTACCCAGGTACGAAAAGTCACTAAAAAAAAGGTCGGTGATGGCAAAACAGTTGATGTTGATATAATATAAATAGAATCAATACAATAGACACTTTTTCAATGGGCTGCTAAAGACTTACCTAAGATGTGTCATGGTATGTCAAGGAATGGAGGAGCAATGAATGAAAAAGAGGAAAGAGAGATAGAGAAAAAAAAAAAAAAGGGTGCACACACGAAACTCGTTTAAACTTTTAAAACCCAGATGGAAAATGCAAGATTTGGGCCGAATTTTTGGCGGGCCGGGAAAAGCTTACTCACATGAAAAAAAAATGAGATTGACATTACACAAAATGGGCTGCTTGTGTTAACCGCTTTTTCCTTTCTTCTCTTTAAACTCTCTTTGTTAAATGTTCATGACTAAAATCAAACAATGTTAAATGTTCTCTTCTTGCTCAAGCTCAACTTCTTTAATACTGTCACACAAACGTGATCTGAGTCTGTCGTTCTTTTTCAACCCCGCCTGCACCAAAATTAGTCGTCGTTTGGGACATCCTGCACTCTTCATGTGCCCAAGCATTTTTAGAGTTGATCTCCCACAACAACCAAAAAAAAAAAAAAGAGTGAAACTTTAACCTGTTTCCCAAGCTCATTGGTGCAACCTTGGAAAGCGGGGATACGTAAGTGCTTGAACACACAATTATGAAGTTTGCAATTAAAGTGAAATGTGGGGCAGACAAGTGTAGTTTTTTTTTTAAGCCCCTCTTTCAGCACCTCCCCCCAGAAAAAAAACCCATTTTTTCTTATTCTTCCTTTTCACACCTAGCTGTGCTTTGGTTGGTCGACTTTGAATGAGTTGCTCTATATCAGGAAAATAAGCGATTCAATGGAATCAAACAGCCTTTTTACATTGTGTCACCTTTCACCATGTGTCCCTTCCAAATGCCATCGCACGAACAATCACCGAAGAACCTCTTTTCAAAAATAAAAAAAAAGAACACCCATCTCGGCCTTAGCCTTCGAAAACCCGCGTGTTCAACACCTTCATATTCTAGCGCACAGTCCACCCACTCTTCATTTAAACCGAAGCGTCTGATTTCAAAAAAAAAAGAACCTGCTTGGGATTTGCTAAAAAAGAAAATCGAGGTTCCTGCTGGTGCAATTGCAACTGTAACATGACATTAATCTCTCTGATATCACTCCTTCCTCACTTGGCATAGACCTGAAAGTCTTTTTTTACCACGCACACTTAAAATCATGCACTGACATTTTTTCCATTTTGGGCCCTGCTCTATAAAAATAAAAACAACCAATCCCAGTCAAAATGACTCCATTCAAAAAGAGGTTGAAAAAAACTTAAGGTTTTACGAGCTCCAAAAGCAGCAGAGACAAACCGGCCCGTGATCTTCTTTTGATGTTTCAAAAAAAAGACTTGTCCCCTCCTTGCTTTTTCATTGACGGCGGCCCCGTTGCTAAAAACCATGACAATTGACACTCCGCCACATGCAGCTGGATTCCCACCGTCGCCTTTTTTTTTTCTTGCAGCGATTTCTTTCAGAATTTTGATTATGCATGGCAAAAAAAAAAAAAAATAGAACTGAAGCCGAATCATCACCCAGATCTGGCAAGCACATGGTTCCAGTCGTGCACTGTCTCTGGTATATAGGAATTACTGACCAAGTGCAATCGAGAAGCCATTACCGACCGCCTTTTTTTGTATAGTGTTTTTATTATTCAATTGCTCCCTGTGTATATGAGGAGTTTAACTGAGCCTCATCTACTAGCATTGTGGAGACGTTGTTCAGTGGAATGCAAGCAAACTGTTTGAAGCAGGATCTGAAGCACATTAGGAGATGTGTATGTAGTGAAGAAAACCTGTCAGCATTCAATACCCTGTAACCGGAAAACAGGAGCTCTGGTTTGTGTGGTAAGGACACCATCAAAATGAGGTACAGAGCAACTCACCTTTATCTTTTTTTTTCTCTGAATCAACCAGGCAGTGTTTGTGATCTCCACTACTATCAACTTGGCAAGAATATGGACACACATGTACTGTAGAGAGAGACGTTTTTGAATAACCCGTTGTCGTCATGATTCCCCCCTCCTCCGGATGGCAATTGGCAGCTTTTCTGTTGGTCCGATCAACGTTTTCCAACGGCACAACATCACTAGAACAACCATAAGAAATAATTTTTTAGCAGTTTAATCAATCGGATCAAATATTGTGAATTCACGCCTGCCTCACCATGATGACTGAGGGCCTGTTACTTAGCCCTGGCCATTGGTCCAGACGATTTCATAGTTTTGGGAGTCTGCGCTTTAGCCATGGTCACCGCTCATCTGATGTTTGGCCACTGCAAAACTTGAAGTGAATTAGGCGAGGTCTGAAATATGGGCAGTTTCTTGACATTTCCAAAAAAGGGACTACTGAAAAAAATATTTGATTAGGCATGGCCCACTTTTAATCGATTGCTTTTTAAAAAAAATAAAAAGGCAGCCCTGACTCTCAATGGTGCGCATATTTTCGAATCTAGCCAAGCAGGAACAAGCAAGTGAGCACAAGATGCCCTAGGGAAAAATGTCCAAAAAAAAAAAGGAGGCCCTGCCCTCTTCCCTCACACCCACGAGTCACGTGCCTTTCCAACTCAGATCTTTGAGCCGCTTGATCTAGCCAAGAAAGGCAGCAGGCTGAAATGATTTAAACACAGCGCTGGCGTTTTTTTTTTCAGAGCCTCCACGCGCAGCGGGGACGCTTTTCTTTTGGGCGAGAAAATGTATGGCTTTGCAGCGGGGCCTGGAACGATCAAAATAAAAACATTTTGGGTACATACTTATGGTTAAGCCAGACACCTTAAATCAAGTCAGGTTAGGCGACGGAGCTAAGATAAAAGCTATTAGGCCAGTGGTGCAAGGAGCAAATTTGGGCGGGTCCTAAACATGAGCTAAAGGCTAATTGTGAATTTTGCCCATTGTGTATGTTAAAGTCAACGCAAAACATCCAACTAAGTGAAGCATATGAGCATCATCTCTGAGAATATCAAAAGACGCTAGCATTTTGGTCAAAGTGTGCACAGCTGGCCCAATAATAATTTTTTTTGGCTCCGATTCTTAGCTTGACCCGACCTTTTGGCTGTCCCAAACTTTTCTCTTTGTGCAACCATGCCAGCGTCGGTCACACAAGCGGACCCACTAGCTGGAATGCAACAGTGTCGGCGATAAAAAAGAGTACCCAATTATGGCAAACATAATCCGACTCCGGACGGGCGGGGTGCGGAGTATTGGCCAATCCGCTTTTGGCAATCTCCCCCCCCCACTTTTTTCTTTCTCCCTTTCTCGCTCATTTTAAATTTTAGGATGAGGTTAAACAACAAAAAAGCAGTTCTGAAATCACTATAAGCACAAGAAGCTTTTCAGATAGAAAATACTGCAAAAATCGCGCGATTTTCGCAGATCACGTGACTTATTTGGTTTTTCAGTAACCAATCAAATCGTTTGATTGTCCTGCAGCTTTGTCCGAGCGGTTTAAGGAGGCAGTCTTAAGCACTGCTGTGCCATGCACTCGTGGGTTCGAATCCCACAGGCTGCAATATCATGTAACATACTGTGTTACGCTTCACTTTTGTCTCTTCTCAAGAGCGGAAGGGTTTTTTTTTTTTTTTTTTTTTTTTGGATGTGCTTCAGCTTTGATGTTTGGCTATGTAAACCATAGGGCTTTGGGACTGATGCAACAGGTAATCTAAATAACAGATGCGTTCATTTTTTTTCCACGACGAAATAAGCCTCGCTTTTTCTCTTGCATTGATCAGCGGTTACGAACATGAGACATCGACTTGATATCTTGGATCAGACTGGGCTGAAGTGACGGGGTTGGTCATTCGCATTGCAGCCGAGAGTGATTGGCGAAGCTTGTTGCTTCTCGCATTTTTCGTTACGGCAGCTGATATGCCTGGGGTTATGCCTTTTTTCATTTCATCTACCCAAGCCGGGCCCAAATTTGACATAAATCTGGTGAGCCAGGATCGACGGGAATCAGGTGTTCTATGAGCCGAAGCTATTTTTTTTTCAGCAGGCAAATCGGGCGACCTCCTAAATTAATATCAATGTACACAAAAGTAAAATTGAGTGCACGCAAAACAATTTTCTTGTGCAGGTTAAACAATAGCCTCAGAAAAAAAAAAAAAAAATAGGCGGCGCCATTTCAATTAGCCAACATTGTTGACTGCTTTTGTCATGCCAGGCTGTGGAGAGCGACATTGAAACAGGCACGACGTCGAACGAAGAAAACGGAGGCATTGGAGTAGTTTGTAGATGCCGACATGGATTTTGGCCATTGTATTCCTTTTTAATATCGAAGTTAGCATTGGCTGATAAACATGCATCGTTCAGAAATCAAAGGCACCATGCGGAAGTTGAATTTAACCACTTCATTTTTTTTCATTTTGAAAAAAAAAAAGAAATGCCACACAGCGCTTTTGGGTGATGAGACCGAGCTAACATTTTGTAACGGTGCACAAATGCATGAACGAAGATGGTGCTGAAAAAATCGCATCAATTGGTGAAGGTTACCCTACCAGCTTTTGTTCAGAGTCGTTTTCACGCATCCGATTCCCCAGCTAAAAAAAATAAAAAACCAGCCATTTTCCCCAGGGCACCCCTGGGCGATCTTATCGAAAATCACGAGGAATATCACACCGCAAAATTGTTCCAAGTCGATCCACACCAAATTTTCTACACATGTTCAAAATGACGAGGATTGACTATGATTAAAATCCCAACTCTCAGAGACGGCTGAGCGATGAGCTAGAAGACTGCTAGAGTTCACCCGGCAAAAATGGTTGTTCACGGCTCCGCGAGAAAGGCAGCTAGCCAAAAAAGCAGTTCATAGTCCGCATCGCCCGCCTTTTTTTTGTTGATCCTGTTCGGTTTTTTTTTTCTCCATCCTCTTTGGGTCTGATCGAAGAAAATCAAACCTCCAACCTCCTACTATTGGCACCAGACTTTGCTTTAAAACCGGTATATGGTGAGAAATAAGCTTGGCTAGAGTCACAGTTCTTTGTGGTTAATTGGTGCTGAGATATATTGGCATCAGCCATTCACGTTGCGCTCCACCAGCTGTAGCCTTTGTCAGGCAAGGCACAGCCGTTTGATATGCGTGTGGGAGACTTGCCACTGCAGTTTACTGTCGTGCGCGCTTGGCGATGGTTTGATGGTTTGATTAGGTGGTTGCGCTCCAAGTGATTCAGGACTGCTCACGTCTGGAAGCTAAAAAAAAAAAAATGGCGAGGCGGTCATCATTGTTTAAAATGGAAAATGAGGAAGCTTTTTTTTTTTTTTGTCTCTTTTACTATTTTTTCTTAATCGGTAATCCACCTCTTTTGTACAATCACATCCCTACCATCTCCTTTGTGTGTCATAAAAAGGATGCATCATGCTTCAACCCAATTATGAACCGTTCTCGTCCGTGTCGTTTCAGCATAAACAACGCACATCCCCGTATCCAATGGCCAAGGACGATGATCGACAGTCTCACTTTCCCATGTTCAAAGATCCGCTGCCAGCGTCGTCATCACAGCCACCTCCTGTGTTCCATGCCCCGCCAACCTCCTCCCTGGGATTTCTCCCTTCACTGAAGCGCAAACGGCGGCGATGGTGCCCAAGGCGGTATGGTTTCATTGCTCTCTCGGTGATCGTCCTGCTCTTGCTTGCTTACCGCCATACTGTTGCAGTCTACTATGCGTTTCTCCGCATCAAACTCAACCAGACGCTGTTGGAGTCGGGTTACCTACCTTGTGGTATTGTGCGGAAAGACCCTATGCTCTATGTTTTGGACGGCCATCAGGTACAGCTGGTCTGGGAAATGAATTGTGACATGAATGATATGCAGATCGCCTGGCGACCTCTCACGACCTCCACACCGGCTGGTAACAGCAGCAATGACCCTTGGACCTGGACAAAAGCATCGCCCATTCAGCTGGCACCTCACCACGTGCTGTACCGAGCCATCCTGGATTTGAATGAAAAAACGGCGACTCGCTACAGATACCACATCTACTCGGCCAACAACATCGACAAGCCTGTCCGGCAATATGATTTCACCTGGCGGCAGCACGATCGCTCACAGCCTCTTCGGTTTGCCGCGATTGCCGACAACCAATTTGGCCTGCGCAACTTTTTACGCATCCTCAGTCATGTGCCTGGTTACCGGCCGGACTACCTGATCCATGCTGGCGACGCTGTGCAACAATACCCTTCGCTGCAACAGTGGCAAACCGACTTTGTTGCTCCCTTGACCTATCACGGCCTTGGTCAGCATGCTCCTATGATCTACGCCCACGGCAACCATGATCACGACCCGACCTTTGCCTACCATTACACACGTTCCTCTCACGGTCAGCCATGGCACGCCTTTTCCATGGCCGACGGGGCCATCCGGTTTATTGTGCTCGACAGCAACTTGGACTGGCAACAGCAGGATGAATGGCTCAACCGAGAACTGTCCAGCGACGCCTGCCAGCAAGCTGCCTTTCGTGTCGTTGTCGTCCACATCCCTCCCTTTTTGGAGTACTGGGATCCCAAGGCCTGGTTCGAGGGCAAGGAGAGTGAATGGGGCAGATTTGTACGCGAGCGTTATGTGCCTCTGTTTGAACAGCATGGCGTGGACCTGGTCATCTCTGGCCATCAGCACAACTACGAACGTGGCCAACACAATGGGATCATGTATGCTATCATCGGCGGTGCTGGCGGCGACATTGATGTCGAACGCGTACAGGATTTCGGCATGTATGATGCTCATCACCTCGACTTTCACTTTGTGCTCTTGGACCTCCTGCCTCTGCCAAACAATGAGCACCACCAAGCCGACGGTAGTGACAATGACCATCAACCATGGGAACTGGTCTGGCGAGCCTTTGACAAACATGGAAAAATGATTGATACCCATCGCCAGCGCTCCCGCTCCCGGCCGTCCTACTTCCCCCTGGAAAATATGCATAACCCAGAGGACAATCAAGTCGGTGCTGTGTCTCCTGATGTCATCCAAGACGTTACCCTTATGGATCTCGATGATTCTGAAGCAGCTCTGAACGACGACGCCAAATAAAAGAAATCGTGTCTTACGAACGTTTTTTTTTTTTTTTTTGCCACGACGTTGCCTCGATCACGTTTCTGAAGGAAGAGGGTGGGAAAATAAAAGAGGGATGCATTTATTAGTCACTTTTGGAAGGATATGCTGAATGAAAAAATGTGTCAATGAGTAGATGGTAAGAGTAAGAAAAAAAAAACTATGCTTTGACTTGTTTTGGGGAGGTGTACGGGGGTGGAGGCATGATGACGTTGAGATTATGGCGTGACATTCTGGCATCAGACGTGGTGGTGATTTGTTTGACTTCCTTTTTGTACTTGAGGTAGCAAGGGCACATGAAGAAGCCATGGGAAGCCGAGCTGTTGACATCGCTCAAATCATGGATGGCGGTGTCATGGACCGAAGCTTCGTAACTGGGCAAGGTGCCATAGTCATCTTTGAGACGGCAGTCCAGGATAGTGATTGGGGTGTCGAGGTGAAAGGCGGTGCGGAGTGTGCCCTTGTTTGGGTCATCGACATGAACGCCCGCGCCAATATCCAAGTTGGATTCTTGCGGGAAGGATAATTCGATGTCGATCTTAAGGTAGTGGGTAAACAGGATATCATCGAAGGAAGTGGTGTGGTTGAGATGGACGCAGTTGGGCAGGTTAAAGACGAACTGATATTGGAAGGGAGTGGCAGACAGGGGAATATGTGCGTTGTTGGCGGCAAGGACGCGCTTGAGGTTGGGCAAATTCAAGTTTAGAGGTGGAGCAAAGGAGGACATGGTGAGGTCGGATTGATTGCGGGCGTCGACCAAGGCCAGGCGAAAATCATGCACTTCGCCTCGGCGAGCATCGAATTCTGGGAGCTGGTAGATACGGCGTTCTTGCAGCATCACTGATAGACTTTCCAGGTGCACATGTTTCCGGTGGGCTGACAGAGTCAATGAGATGGGGAAGTGGGTGCCAGAAGAAGCCATGGACTTTTCGATAAAGATAGTGGCGTCGCACTGAGGCAGGCGCCGTTCGACCAAAATGGATGGGTTGGCAAGGGAATGGCTGGTGAGGGCTTGGTCAGACCAGGTCATGGCACGCAGGAGCAGGATATTGCGCCTAGCCTTAAGATTGGCATTACCCATGCCCGTGCGATTGACGGCACCAGTCACATAGTAATACACCTTGGCAAAATCATCTTCGATGGTTTCCACCAGGCGACTGGACAGCAAGAACTCAAAGGGCCACCTATGCAAGCCAGCAGGCAACATGGTGTTTTCGTCAGGCAGCGTTTGTAGTATGATGTTTTGCTCATGAATGGTCTTTTCATGATATAGCTTCGTGCTACGGCCGCCAAGACCTATACAATGGACGAACAAAAAGAGATGGTAAGCTACATTAAGAGACAAGAGGTTCTTTACCATCGGGCCACAGGGTATGAGATTTGCCAACGAGTTTGACCAGGATAGAAGAAGCAGACATTGGTTTGTCCAGGACAAGCTCCAGCTCCCCTCGCAAAATAGCTGTGGT